CAGTTCCGAGTTTCGATGAGCACGTACGAGCCCGGGCACAGGCGCGCAACTGTATGGACACATACTCAACTTGTATCAATACTTTAAAGAAGAAATATGGACACATACTTACTTAACTTTGTGGGGAAAAAGAAAAGAAAAAAAAAAAAGAACAAAGAGTTTTCCTGGTAAAAACTTTTGTTTCGTAACTTCGATGGCCTCACGTGAAACTAAATGATATTTCAACTCAGTAGAGCTTCAGTTGTCCCGGTTTCATGGTGGTTGTTGTAATGCAATTGCATTAGAGTTCCTCGTAGACTCCAATCTGTTACCTGTAACAGAATTAATGGACCGAAACTCAAATTCACTGTGGACACTTAAAAAAATCACTACCGTCTTTTTTAGCACTCCATATCAAAATGTTAAAAACACTTGAAAATGTCTTGGCTTTTAGAAGAGTCATTAAATAGATGCATAATATTAAGCCAGAAGATTATAACCACCTGCAATGAATAACTCTTGGATAGCATATAACCACACTCCTCAATACTAGCTTTTTCTCCACTGACCATCCTAGCTAATTCAGAAATCGAGCTATCCATTTGTTCGGCCTGTGGTCAAGAAGAAATGTGTCAATATGGACGTTAAGGTAAGAAGAGAGGAAAAGGGTTGAAAATATATTTTCCTCTTCAGCAGGACTATTACTTTATAAACGAAAAACAAAGGATATAAAAAGGAAATTAATCTACATTGGTAAAGTTCGACTTCCAGCAACTCTTACTTCATGTATAAATCTCTGAATATGAGAACCAATTAACTCGGCAACTTTGATGGCCGAGTTTAGAGCCTCTCCTATCTGTCCCAAGTCAACCTGAAACAACAAGCCAAATTGAGTAATTTTTTTATATGATGTGAAAGCTAAAAGGTGATTCAAGTACATAATATATATAGATGTAGCAAAAAATGGGCTAAAGAAACCTCTCACCTTCACATCTTCACTGACTGGAAGTCTGGCTGAGGAATTGAGCAATGCATTTGTTGAGGCCGACAAAGAATCCGAGTATTCTTCTTCTAGAGAAGACCATTCCTCAAGATATGGCATCTGAAGGACAAACGAATTGTTTGAGTAGTTTGCAAAGGAAGTTTTAGTAGTGAAAATGAAAGTGAAGTAAACAAGTTCGAGATAAAAAGTCATCAGAATCGTAATTATTATTTTCCTCTCTTTTTTAACTTCATGTTTGATAATGTAAATATCAAAGAGCATATGAATCATCCGCTTCAAAATAACAAGAATATATTGCATTGACAGAGTTATTTCATTTTATTTTGTTCAGAGAATAACACGAGGTTTTATTTTCACAGGATGACTCCATCTAAAACAGGAAAATAGTGCAAAGTAAAAGGTTTCTGTTACAAGAAAACATACACAAAACCACAAAAGAGAAAAGATAGCAATCTTACTTGAGCCTCAACAATAGTTGTCATTGTTTTCATTCCTTGAATGAATGCAAATTCACTCCGTTTCCTTTTCACACTGTCGCGTATATCCGATATCTTGCTCGCAAGTGACCAAAGTTTTGTCTGAACAATGAAGAATAGAAGCATAAACTGGAAGATAAGAAACTAATAAAAATCGACCAATAAAAACTCATAGGTACCGAAAAATTGAAAACGAACCTCAGCTTCCTGTTTCTGTGCACGTAGGCAAGCCTCGGCTTTTGCATTCACAAACCGCCAATGCAAATAACGATTATTCAACATCTTCAGGCAATGCTCGTCTTCCATTCGATCAGCCAATTTTCTCCCTTTCCTCACATCCAATCCAATCCCGGGCCTTAGGCCCGGCAATGGAGGGTGAGGTGGCCGGAAAACAGAAACCCCTCCACCGATTCTCACAGAAGACCAAGAAAAATTCAACGAGCGAGCACAGTCACTCCTAATTTTGCTACAATTTTCGACATTTTTACCTCCAGCCAAATTAACATCACTACAAAGTGGTGAATTAGGGCACGAGGAGCTTCCCTGATTCGAGGCATTACTGGCACTGCTGCAAGATTCCGAATCGTCGGAACTTGAAATCGAGGCATCTGACGTGGCCCGTTGCAGTAATCTAGCTGCCGTGGTCACGGCCGAGCACCCATTGTTGTTACTGCTGTTCAGTGAAATCGAGCGGCGGACGGTGGTGGGGGCTTGCCGGAATCTGGAAGGGACGACCCTCTCGGTGGCGGAGGCGGCCGGCGTGTCGGGCCTGGACGGGACCCTGACGTCGGTGTGCGGATGGCCGTTTGGTAAAGGTTGCGGCTTTCCTCGTTGCTGGTGCTGTTTCTTCTGTGCGGTCGGTACAGTTGAATTGTCTAGGTTGCGATTGGACTCGGGGATTAGGTTTTCGTCGGTTTTGGGCTGCTGGCGGCGGAGGGCTGATTTGGAGCGGCGGAGGTCGGAGGTGTCAGGGGAGAAGGTCGGATTTGAGGGGATTAAAGGGGACATGAACCGGGAACTGACTTCTCGGACTCTCGGACGGCGCTGAGGTGGCGGCGCCGCCGTAGGTGCACCGCCGGGTTGATCGGTCATTTTCTTTCTTTCTCTGTTACTATTTTTAAGTTCCCCTGAATTCACAGACAAACAAGAGGATTTTTAAGGGTTAATCCTAATAAGAACAAAAAAGGATTTGTGAAATTGTAAAATAGGGTCGACTGTAAAATGATTGGAAACTAGCCGTTGAAAAGACCAAAAAATAAAAAAAAAGTAAGATAAAAAAATAATGAAAAAACTATGATTTTGTCGGATAACGGTTTTGTTGTGTCCCAAAGGATTCTATTTCGAGCAATATTTGAAAATGTCCAGTAAACGGTAATCTAACCTGATAGCAAAGGGCTTATAAAACAAAAAAGAAAAAGGCATCACTCACTCGATTGAATGTTACTTGCTTTTGACCTTGTTTTGTTGGTCAGATTATTTACAAGAATTTGAAAAACCTGAATCCCATATTCAATTTCGTCAAATTCTCCAAAAGTGTGATCATGTTGTATCATTGTATGGGATATTTGGTACATCTCAAGCATGGTGGAAATCAAATTAAACATTTCAAGCGTATGTAATAATGTTCGAAAAATATTAGTCTACATTTTGTTATATATATTTAAAGAATCAAACTCAGAGTAGGGTCAACCGCTGTTTAAGTATATTTAATCATGTTATTGTCACTAATATTTTTCAAATATATTTTTTATTTTATATCATCGTATCTATTAAAAAAAAATATAAAATCTAAGTATTAAGATTGATCTTGCAAGTATATCCTAGATTTCTATGTTATCGACTAAAATTAAGTAAATTTAAGAAAAAGAAAAAAAAGGAAACTACTCTCACTGTAACAACGCAATAGTCGTAAAATATAGCAATAGAAAATATTCAAAAAACATTAATTATGATACATTCAATATATATTAGCATAAAAATATATTTATACGATGTGTAATTAAAGGTGAACTTAAATTTTATTATACTCGAAATCTTTTATATTAGTAAGTTAGAAATAGAAAAAAATATCTATTAATAGAATATATATTTTTTACTTACAGAAAAAATTATATAATAGAAATTTTACATTTGTGTACAATGCATGATTAATTTTGGAAGATAAAAATAAAATCTAATCGATACATTGATAAAAATAAGATAAAAATATATATCAAAGATAAAAATAGATATAAAAATATATCTACAATGCATGATTATTTTTACATTCACACATATAGGGCTGCACACGAACCGAGCAGCTCGCGAGCCGCTCGCGAGCGCTCGAGTCAAAGCTCGGCTCGAGCTCGAGTTTGACCGAACTCGAGTCGAGCTCGAGCTCAAATTTTACCTTGTCGAGCGGCTCGCGAGCGGCTCGAGATTATGTTAAATTACAAAAATACCCTTATATATGTGTATCTTAATATTAATATCTGTACTTAATGATAATTTTACAAATTTACTTGAAAATTTTCGAACCGAACTCGAGCCGAGCTCGAGCATTATGAAATCGAGTCAAGCTCGAGCTTATTGTATTTGTTTGTCGAGTCGAGCTCGAGCATCAAAAAATCGAGCTCGAACTCGAGCAGCTTAAAAAAAATAATCAATCCTGCTCGATAAGGCCAATGCTCGACTCGGCTCGGCTCGTTTGCAGCCCTACACATATATATATATATATATATCGAAGATAAAAATAAGATAAACGTTCAAACAACATTGATTAGCATTGAATTAACAATCTAATCGCTACAAACAACACTCAAAACAAAGCAAAAAAGGAAGAAATAAAAAAATTACATCAATAAAAATAACGCCAAAAATGTTCATGATTTCAAACCATAATGAAGACAACATTAATTAACAAATGATAAATAAATGCGACATCGCTAGCAATCAACAATTACTGAAAAATTGATTGATTTCATTTTTGGATTTCTAACACAAAGTTATTTATTTATTTTTAACAATAAGTTTTATTCATACCATTAAAGATTAGGTTTAAGTGCCAATACATTTATATAACTTATTATATATGTGTTTCCTTTTCTCTTTTAATAAACAAATGGAAAATTTTGAATTTGAAGCACAAATTCAATAAAACTATAATTTTTAAATTATAAAAAAATTAATAATCACGTGCGTCACATGTGCAACTTAGTATAAAAAAAAAATATCACGAAGTTGGGTTCTCTTATTGAGATTCTCACTCTTATAAAAAAATTTCATATGAAACTTGCTTCACGATGTCACATTATGATATTCACCACTACAAATATATGATATATCCATATGGCCACTTCAATTTACAATTGTATTATAACATTTTTCTCACCCAATATTTTTAATCTCTCAAATGAATTGTCAAGTTTGAGTTTGGCAATTCATCGTCTTCCTCTTGATGGTAATGCATTGTTTATAAACACTCTTCATAAAAAAAACAACAATTGATAATTATGATGGTAATGCATTGATTATAAACACTTCATAAAAAACGACAAATGATATGTCTTGTTATTGCAGTAACACCACAATCACTCAGCAACTTCTTCATCAATAAAACCACCAACCATCACATGATGGTTCAATTCCTGGATATATCATTATCAATTGTGATCGAGAAGCTAATGATTATTGGTTGTGCAATGATTATTATACAATAACCCTATGTTCCATAGAAGATGGCCTTACCTGCATTATCGACGTGCAAGCATACTCGACTTCAAATGGATAAAAAAACGTATATTGAGCAACACTTTGACTAAGCAAAATCCAATATCGAACTCGGGCAGAATAAATTGGAACACTGAAGAAATTATCCCCACGACAAGTCACAATCTCAGGTCCATACATCAATGAAAAATATTTCCTTCATCGGTATTAATGATGCAGACGTACCCCTAAAATTTCTAGCTCAGAATATCCCTAATCTACAGTTCTTTTGCAGTGTACTAGATACAGAAGTTTCCAAGGTGGTGTTGTTAAGCAGTTTTATCTCCAACTGGATATGACACGCATAACCATATACCAGAATGGAGTGAATTCTATTTGCAGGATGAGTCAAAAAGTCTGCCGACTATTTTAAGAGGTTTTGGTTGTGTCAATGATAACCCTCTCTCCTGGAATCGCCAAAAAGGTCGTCTGCACAGAACACATAAAAGAGGATATAGTACAAAAACACGGTTTAATATACAAGTCTGGGATCTAGTTCACACTCTAACACAAGTGTACATGAATAAGGAAAATGAGATACACACCAAAGTAACATAAACAGTTGTACTAAAGGTGTCACAGAATCATAAGAAATAAATAATGGCAGCACAAGTGAAATGTTCGACTTGAATTTTATGACATAGCAAAATGCACCGAAAATAACCATAATAAGGTCCCAACAGAAGGAACATTTCGCAATATATGCCTGTCAAGTAAAAAAGAGCAAATGCCAGCAAGCAAAAGAAAATATGAGGCAGCTTATGTCAAAATGTGATGAGAGGGCATATTTGCACAAAGTAAGACAATTGGCCATGGCATTCAACTTACCTTGCTCGTCTTCATCGCCATTTTGAGTTGTAAAAAACGGGGTGAGATAATTCTTGTCCAGTTCGGTAAAAGATGCAGTGCTGCGAGAAGGAATGGATTAACTGAAATTAATACAGTTGCAGTATAAAGTACAAAATTGGAAACATGGATATCACTTTTCTCCACCTCTTGCGCAACTCCTTAAGTCTCATCTTAAACCGATTCCCTGATGATGATGATTCACCCTCATAAGTAGGAGCTCTGTAGCTATTGCTTGAGTCGAGGCTCTGAAAGGGAGTTGAAGAAGACTCATAATTGGAAACTTGTAATTTTTATTTATTCCAAGAGAATACAGAAAAAAGGAAGGAAAAAAAAAAAAGAACGACCCTGCTCTGTCCCTAAAAACCCTAAAAACTGGAAGCCATAGCTTGCAATCAAACTGTACAATGTCAAACAAGGAGTTTCAGAGTTATATTAGTTCCATCTTTACAGGATGTAAGCTGTTTGGACTATTAAATTATAACGTGCAATCTTCCAGCCATCCTGGGAAATACACACTCACACAGATAGAAATAGATCAAACAAGTCAAACATTTTTTTCCAAAAAAAATGATAGACATAAAATAGAACCGAACAAGCAGAGAACAAATGTGACATTCTAGAAATACTACAGCAGTAAAATATTTCAGATCCTCATTAGCAAACATATCTTGCATACATCAAAATGCAGAGTACAGAGATTACACAATTAGTCAGTTAATGGCCTATAACGATGCCTAGAATATCTCTTTATTGTTCAAATTTAATACAAGTCAAAATCACATGACCACTAACAAAAGTCACTTTCACAGTCAAGTGCACGTTCGATTCTTAACCAAATTATAGGAGGTGACCAATTTTCACTCACCTCGCCCAACGGGCTATCAACTCCATCACCAACAACTTGTAAAGCTTCCAGCATGGTTCCAGTTGATCCTCCAATCAGCAAGACCTAAAACAACTCAAATCACCGTAAAAGCATTAAGTGTCTCAAGGATACTGCATGCCAAAATAAATTTTATGAAGTAAAACCTAATTGTACGTGCATATTACATAATATGCAGTTACCATATATACAGAAAGTATATGATACAACTGACAAAATATTGCCAGAAATAGGGATGGTAAAGACAGCAGACTGCACCAAAGATACTCAATTGAAGGTGCATAAAAGAATTTATGGCATTTTGCGCAATTTTGGGAAGAAGCAATTCTTACCAAATCACAGTATTAAGTGACCAAACATTTAAATTACAGGGTAACTAAGGGTAACAAATGGTGCAGCCATTTGTGGTTAAAGTCATGTAATAATGATGCAGATCTAAGTATGACATATTTTGAGCTTGAACTTCTCCTCCATCTTCCAACAGAGCCATGAGATCTAATTTTTACAAACTGGGTTGCTTACTGTCAAAACAACTATTGCAGTAGTGGCAGTGAATATTGTCTGACCATGCCCTTCAGGAAGATCATGAACCGATTGCAAGGCAAGCGCAAAAGCCATAGCCCCTCGGAGACCTGTGATTAGAGATGTCAATGAGTGTCAGCGTAAGATATTGCTAAAGCAATGAGGTAGGATGATAAAAGAGATTATTGGATGAGATGTATGATGCAGAACTGCCATTTTACCCATTTTCAATTAAAACAAACGAAGAAAAAATCTTATCTACTTACCACTATACCAAAGTGCTTTCTGATGCTTCATCGGTATTTTTCTATGCGCAGGTCTAAACAAATTCACCAAATATGCGCACGAGAAAACATTTGCAGCTCTTCACAGAACAAGTAGAAAAATATTTAATATTTGTGTAACAATTTCAATACCAAATCTCACATTACCACCAAAACAGCATAGGTTACTGATATCCGGTATACAAAGTTTATTTAAAAATTGAAATCACAAGAAAAGATGGTGCATAAAACATAATACAATAGAAAAGGAAGATGCTTAGCATATGGATTAGGACAAAGTATTCATACCTTGCAATGCCAATGGATAACTGAATTAATTTAAAGCAAGTCAAGGAAACATATCAGTTAATGTGTTAAAGGAAACAACTAACTGATTAAAGATTTCTGACAATTCGAGGATACAATTGAAAAGAAGATAAATCCAATATGAGACCAGCTGTGTTGTTCCATGGCAATGTCAAATCCCATGTAAATAAATCTGCAGCGTAGATAAAAGCTTCAAATAAATGTACTTGGAGCAATAACAAAATGAACAGAAAACAAATAGCTGCATGATGCTCACACAAAAGTCTCCGCCAAGGATGAGATCAAATGGAAAAATGCAGACACAAACTTCTGAGAACTGTCTGACAAGTTTGAGAAAGAGTAGTGCTTCATAACCTAACAACAAACGACAAATATTTTGATGCTATATAAAATTGAACTTAAGTACAAGATATCAACTATATTGGTTACACTTACTATTCCAGTGAATAATATGGACACAATACCAGAGAGACCAACTCCTTCTGCTAGCATATATCTAGGTAAAATTGAAGATATCACAAGACAAATTAACGGTTAACAAATCAAATAAAGAATTCCACAATCAGAGATAGCACCAAAAACTATCTTACGAGAAATATGGGAAGAGAACAAAGAGGCAGCACTCCAAGTTTTGAAGACTGTACAGCATATTGAGTAGAAAGATAGTAAGTATTTCTCAATATTTAGTTCCGAATTGAGGTTTCTAGAAATTTGAAAACATACTTACTTGTCAATGTCCAGACCAGCATACTTAAAAAGGTTTGGAAGTCAAGGCTTCACAGAGCATGTCATGAAGGTAAAAGGAAGGATAGGCAAGAACTGTAAACCTCTAAAAGGGAACGAGAAAAGGAAATAAAAGTAAAAAAGACGAAAGGATATCAATGCAGAAGTGAATCCAACTCCAACCCCTGCATATTTCCAAATAAATTATATTATTTACTCAGACATATGTGGCCATGTGCTCTCTGCCTAAATAAATCTGTAATTTTTTTCCTTTTGGAAGCAAGAAATGGAAAAGCAAAGATGACAAGGAAGAGGGGCAAATATAAGTTGCTCAATTAAATGAAATGAGTGGGTTATCATGAATGTAAAAGTTCAAGCACATAACAAGGTGTCTTCTCTATTCAGGAAAATCAAACAGAAATGGTAACAAATAGGTTAAGTTCTTCTGGGTACAACACAATTATCACAATAAGAGAGCAGTCTAGCACTCCATCATTCCACTTAGTCACTCGGTATAATTTAAGGCCGAACGGCAGAAAGTTATTCAAGTGCCAATATTAAGAATGAAAGAGAATTTTGGAATTTATTAAGGTAAGAAATTGTAGCATCCAAGGTTAATCTACAACTTCAGAGCAAATTAATTTATCAAGCAGTAAGCTAGAGTTCTAACATAAAGGCCAGCTTCAATAAAAGTTGTGAAAATAAAATTTCAAATTTTGGCTCAGAATTAAGAAGGTAAAAAAAGAAGAAAAAAGAAAAGGACATAAGGATCTTTTTTCTAAGAGGAATTGGGGGGCGGTTGATTCAGTACGCTGCTTAGAATATGTTCATATTTCAACTAGTATATATACCCCAGAAACCCTACCACCCAAATCCTTGGGAAACATAAAGTGACCAATGAAAGAAAGAGCAGAGTAGGAGTAAATGGACGAAAGATAAGAAAATGAAAACTACATAATACATATTGTAAATTGCAGAAAATCTCATTAATAATAAAGTAGATAAACCACAAATATCCACTTTAACCATAACATAGAAATATCAAACATGGACCTTCTTGAATAACTATAAGATCCTTGCAACAAACCTGCTGACATTGAGCCAACAAAAGTCTCGAGAAATCTGACCACGACCATGAAAAAGTTTTGACCTGATGACATATGACTCCTCACCATCGACATTGTCCTATGAAAGTATAAATCAGACCGTTAGCAAATAACATCCACAATTTTCACTCACTAAAATGGGTAGCAATGGTTTAACTAACCTGTACAAAGAGATTGCCATCTTCAAGCGCCAAACCCAGCAATAAACAAAAAGAAAATGTTTATAGTTTTCCAAATTCTCCATCTTAAAAGAAACGGATAGACCAGAGAAACTTACTGCATCATTCAGCACAGACTCGCCAAAGACCAAAGCATACAGATTCACGTCTGTACCAAGCTCCTATAAATGTCATATCAGTTACTAATGATGTAACTCTGATTGCAATAACGAAAACTAAGACAAATCTTTGTCCTTTCTAATATTTTTTAGGTGAGAAGTACGGTAAACTAAAAATGATCAATCGATTACAAGGTCAATGAATTCTTGCTAGTAAGCAATTTGCCCTTAGGTCATATCTGATGTACAGTTTTCCAATTCTATGAGTTGTATGAGAGTTAAACTAGCAAAAGCCAACATGGAGAAACAGAAAATATCATACAGTAAGTCTGAAACTCCAAATCACCTGAAATATTGAGAGAACAGTGACAGGATCAGTAGCTGAGATAAGAGCCCCAAACATCAGACACTCAACAAAAGGAAGCTTGTAGATGAGGTATGTCACTCCACCAAGGTATCTATATAAAGAAACACAGAATCACAAAGAAAAGTATCTAGATTAAAAAACACAAAATCATAAAGGGGGTATTCTCTTGATGAATGAACCCCATCGGAATATCTGAAACTAATAAAAGAAATACACTCACACCAAAATTCCGGTGACAATAGAAGCAGCAAATGTACCAAAAATTGCAAATGTGACTATGGCACCAAAGTTAGAAAAAAATGGCTTCTGAAAAATCAAAACTTAAGAGAGTTATATTCATATAGTGCAGTAATAAGACCAAAAGGAAAACAAACTTATTCAACCATTGCAAGGATTAATAATTTATTTGGATCTTGTGTCAAAATGATGTATCAGTATGAGAAGACAGAAAAGGTTACTATTTTTTAGCTTAAGTTTTATCTTAAGGGCTCAAAGGAGCTACACAAGCTCTTTGAGTTTACTCTGAACACTAGACAACAAAACCAATTAAATTTTTATGTTCTCGTTTTCCCCATTATATCAACTTAATGGGACCCATCAGGCCAAGTCAAGCTCTAGTCCTACAAGATAATACAACGAAAATTAGATTCTTAGAACAGATTACACAAAACAAGGATTGTACCAATTGAGCAAATCTTAGCCTAAGCTACAACTACGAATTGTAACTTCATAAAGTCTAGCAGATGGCAACGCAACTGCTTTATCTATAAGATAGAACTTTACTAAGCAAGAAAATATTGAGAAAATAAGCAAGATGTCTAAATGTCCTTGCAGCCCTCATCTAGCGATTTATGTTGGATGTGCAGGGTATCTGACTATGATATAATAAAAATCAGGGTAGATAATCCTTCTGGTACTTTCTTTTACAGCTCAAACTCTAAGTTTAACATTTTAAACAGAAACTTATGAAGAAAACTTACAGGTTGCAAACTGAACCCTGACTGAGTAAGAGCGAAATCAAGTTAAGGAAGCAACTTTCTCGTGGGACATGAGATGAGCAGGAAAATTAAAAAACTAATTCAACTCAATTTTTATAGAAAAAAAAAAAAGGTACACTCTTCAAGGATATAATATAATTGGGGGAAGCAGGAACAAGAAGAAGAACTCTTCATGGAAGTTGAACCATGCCCTACCAAACCAAGGTAAATCAGACAGTCAGAAAACAGTTACATGTCTACGTAAACAAACTAGGGTTTAACAAATAGAACAGAAAATGCATTTATTTATGCAAAGAGAAGACCTGATGCTAGTCTCCGTGTTGGAGATATTCGCGAGCCCACCCACAATCAAACCTGTATCAAGCATTCGCATTTCACCATTACAGAAAAGAACTCCAGGAGGCCTTAATCAGATCATTAGGTGATGAAAACTGCAGAAAAATTAAGGAAAATGGACTGAATTACCGATCAAAAGTGAAGCACTAGCTTCAGGAAGATAGTAGAAGCGATGACGGCGAAGGACGTGGCCGAGAACAAAGGACAAGACAAGCATCATAATCTGAAGAAGTATCCCGACGCCCGCGGCCTGCTGCTCCTTCGCCGGACTTCCCCTGGGATCGGCCGGAGATATTTTCAACTCTTCCATGCCGATTCCTCAGGTTTTCTCGATGATTAGAGATTTACCAAGTTACGTTTCAATTGAAAGGAGAAACACGAAATGATTTTGATCACTTTGTGACTGGTGATGAATTTTCGAAACTTTTCACTTTGATACTCACCGTGGTTCCTTGAGCAAACACGAGTTTTTCATTGACCAAGTAAATAATAATAATAATAATAATAATAATAATAATAATAATAATAAAAATTATAAATGCTCCTTTTGGAAACGTTGAAAGAAAATATATATATATATACATATAATATATAATTCAAATTAAATAATAAATTATTATACATGTATAAAATGTAATTTTGTATAATACATTGACATAATTCATTGTTGGGACAAAATCATTTATGATACTTACTCATGTTATCACATAATAATTTCGGAATAATAATAATAATAATAATAATAATAATAATAATAATAATAATAAAATTATAAATGCTCCTTTTGGAAACTTTGAAAGAGAATATATATACATATAATATATTATTTAAATTAAATCCAGTCTCGCATGTTTCGGAATCCTACTTGGCGAAAAAACATACTTCGTAGTTTGGTTTGGATAAAAAAAATAATATTATTCTAATCAATAATTTTAGGTTCGGACATTCAAAAAATATTAAAAAACTAATTTGGTAAGTCCATAATAGTTTGACTAATATAATTATTAAGTTCTATAGGAACCTTTGGTAATGATATTGATTGACTAATGTAACTTTGGTTTGTTTTGGAAGCTCTCCATCGACTCATTAATTTTCATAAAAACCTCAAATTAGCCTAATAAATACATATATATAATTTTAAACAATTGTTGTTGTTATTATTAATCTTTTCATGTTGATAATTATAAAAATAAAATATCAACATAAAACTAACCATGTTAATTAACAAAACTAAGCGAAAATGGAATTTGAACAATCATATTAAATTAATATACCCCATAACAAAAAAATTGTGTCATATATCAATAATAAAAAAAACCAAACATAAATTAATACAGTGAAATTAAGAAAGAAAAATTTGTTGCGCTATGAAATAAAAAATTGTTTCTTTAAAAAAGTAAAAAGCACATATAAAAAATTATATATTCAAATATAATTTCTTTTACCGTCCTCTTTCTTCTCGTCAACTTCTGAATTTTTTCCACTTCAATCATGATATTTTTACTAAAAAAAAGTTGATAGACCTGAACTTTTTCCACTTCAATCATGATTTTTTTACTAAAAAAAAGTTGATAGACAATAAAAAAATCGTGGAACTTATGAATAATTCAACCAATTTTTTATATTTTTATTTTATTTTATTTTATTTTTTAAAGAAAAGGTGACCTCAAAGTCATATAAAATAAAGCAAAATTTGACCACTTTGTTTGTGAAGACATTGATTGAATACCGAAGAATTTCAAATATATGTACCATAATATGTATTGTAGAATTGCTGTGAAATCTATACTTATATTAAAGGGGGTAGTATTTACCAAATTAAGTAGCCAGAAAAGTCAACAGCATTTATTGCATTACTATTTTCGTATTATATTTGTTGATATCAAGATTAAATATCTTGAGATAAAGGTTAGATTAAAGAATTCATGAAGTCTAAACCGCGAACTGGGTCTTTGACGATATAAAACGGAATATATGACACCTCGGAAATATCATCTCGGTTCTCATACGATGTGCTGAGTAAAACAGTAGATCCTAAAGGTCGTCAGAATAAAACATTGAAACCTCGAAAAGGCCACCTCGGTTAAAGAACAGTTTGTCAGGAAGTCGTAGAACATTGAAACTCTACCAAAATGCCGACATCACAAAATGACACCGACTTCAATCCGACAGAAGTGACGCTTGTCACACAGATAGAAGAGCGCCCATGCTCATCATTACCTAAAAAGCTTGCCTACGTCATTGCCGCCCCTAAACTGTCAAATCTTCATTAAAACGAAGCTGATTTGTCTAGGGAGGTGTGTCAAGCATAACTATAAATAGCAACATCGAAAACGATACGAGGATTCGGCAAAAATTATAAAAACTCACATATTTATCTCGGTTTTCTTTGTGTACCGACTTGGTTTACATCGGAAAAACCAACTTCCCAATTCTGTAACCGACTTCAAGATTTTCAATAAAAATCTCATTTTCTGCAATCTTTACTGTAATTTTTACTTTAATTACATTGATTAAATCCGTTTATCAACAATATTATATAAAAGGATATTCTATTTACTACATTTATTATCCAGAAAAGTCAACTGCATTAAATGTCATTACTATTTTGGTATTATAATATTTTATTTATTTAATTGATTTATTTATTTGTTTTATTTTAAAAAGGTAAGTATAATAAAAAGATTTTAATAATAAAAAAATCAAATACCAAATAAAAATGTACACTTTGACTTATTTGATTATATTTGGTATTTCATTATACCAAATATATTCCTATTTAGTATATACATTAAATACTTACTAAAGTATTTATTTGTTTTATTTGTCAAAGTTAAGTATAGATTTGTTTATATTATCAAATCATAAAAAATATTAAATCCATATTGTAAAAAAAAAATTCATATAATTTTATAACAATTCTACTACACTATTTAACAATATTCCTTTTTTATTATATAATAAAATAATAATTAAATATTATATGGTGAACAACAATAAGTAAAACTGTTACTTTCTCTTATATCAAGGGATAAATTTATATGCTAAAATTAAATTTTTATTAGTATAAATGTTTTAGTGAGATAATATATTAATTATTTTGCAAGCTAGCCCTAACATGCTCATATTTAATGTTTTAAAAGATGTAGAAAAAAAACTTATAATAACTCTATTGTTTTTTAGACTTAAACGTTGATTAAAAGAGGTAAAAATTCCTAATTTTTTAGACTTAAACGTTGATTAACACCATAGATTGAGAGTTTATATTTAGTAAAATTCCTAATTGTAATAAAAAAAATTAATTTTTGCTATATTTTAGAATATCTTTTAATTCATTATAAAAAAAAAAGAAAAAAAAACTACAATGAAAAAAACAAGTCACCTATATATCGATTTGTTGTACTCCTCAAATCACATTCACAAGGAAATGAAACTTATTGATTAAAATATTATTTTGTCAGTAGTCTTAATGTACAAGAGACTTTAAGACTCCACTTGAATATTATAAAATTTTTATTGAACATAGTACAATTTCTTGCATATTATAAACTTTTATTGAATATTGCATCTTATAATATAATATTCTCCAAATAAATATATCTCGCGGGGTCACGTACTATATATATTTCGTACATTTTTCTTTATTCATGTATATAATTATAAGTCTGGATAAATAGCCTTAAAATTGTGCACCCCGTGCATCGCACGAGCTCTGTACTAGTTAAAGTATGATATATAGTCTATTTATATTTTATAACAATTGGGATTGGTAGCATCACCATATTGTGAAAATGGTAGTTGTACAGGTTACCCACTAAAGTAACAGGTCATTACCTCACTACTTCAAAAATTCTAGTAATTTAATTAAATACAAATTAATGAATACATGCAACTGAAATAACCAACCTTTTTTTGCTCACTAAAATAGGCAAGCTTACTAATATATATAATCGAATAAATTAAGGGATAAATACTAATATCCTAATTGAGCTATTTTATTTGTGTAAAAAATTAGTCAAAATGCTACATATCTTATCGCCCACTAAAACATATCATGACNATTGAATGTAAGTTAATTAATTCGTACTGCTAGCCCGGATTCAATATATAAATTAATTAATGATAAAAAAAAAATAGATGAATGTAAATTAATTAATTCATACTGCAAGCACGAGCCTCGGTCTGCGAGGCTCGGTGTGTGAGGTTATGACCAGGCTCGGTGTGTGAGGCTATGTCCCATATCAACCTTATCACTGGGAATTTTTTAATGGCTAAAGAGTTTCTGCATTAGTGTAGAACTGGAAAATCAGAGTGTTAGGTAACATCAGAGTGTTACCTCAGTGTTTCCTCTTTTTTACAAGAACTTCGAAACACCCATCTCGGCTTAATAATCATTCTACATGGATTATAAACTGATGCTCACAAACAAATGAAGTATAGCAATCTTGACAACAATTTATCTCCTTTTGATCGTGTGTGAAGAAAAGATCCAATGGCAAAACTTCATCATTTCTGGTACAAATCATTAGTTTTTGTGATGCCTAAAATCCAAACATAGGTCACACTTCTTGTCCGAAGACGACTCATATCATGACAAAGCGGCCTTTACTGATGAGGAAAAAGAGAAGAAGCCATCACAATAGTTCCAAACTCAAGAGGCCCTCCAGCGGGCGGGCCCACACGTCCTCCTATAACGAAACGAGCCCAGAGGATGATCGAAGAAGGAAGTGTGAAGACAAATATGATGAACGGGCCCACACGTTAAAGAGTGCGTACTGATTGTTGTTTGTGGTACTGGCGAAGGCAACTCTTTTCTTGCAGGCCTCAAAGTTTAAGGCCACTGGTTTATGTGAAATAGATTTTCGTATTATTGTTGTTTGTCTTGTAATTAGGTCATGAGTCAGAGTTAAGTACGGCCTTCTATCATAGGTTTTGGAACCACATATCGAAGGGGACTTGCACTGAACGAAGCTGAGTCCCACTGCTAATGGTGGATCCCAGCAACTGTAGATTATAATGATCCAAAAATGACAGCTCGTGCAAGTCCAAATTACGCTTTAGTTTGTTTCAGTTACGTGTTTGGCTTGGATTCAACTGATATCCAGGCAACCGACTATATCAACTGTAAAGTAGCCTTCACCAACAAAAAATCACAAAAAGAAGAGCAAAAAAGAAGATTTTGATGATCAATTATTGCAGTGAGCTCACCTGAATAATTTTTTTCGCTAGCATTGTACCATCTTTTCTACTCTCCATCCTGTGACACGTGTCCTTACTCTATAATATAATGCATCACAAATTAATGGTATATAACTATATATTCATATAAATCATTCAGAAATTTTGAATTACCTTAATAGATTAATGGAAATGATTATAAGTCTGCAACCATAATGCAATTAATGTGAAGGCCGACTTTGATAGAGGTTTGTATGTGACTAGCCACCAGCTTCTTTCGTTTTCTTTATAATAATTACCCAATAGAATAACACTTTACAGGTAATCAAGATGTGATGTCAGGGATAGTTTTCAACTGTTCTTCAACGTAAGCAGAAAATTTTCACTACACAAGCCATAACTAGTAATTTTAGGCCAAGTGAACAAAAAAATAAAGATATAATCATCATCTGTTCCGTGGAAGATTCGATCTTTCCCGTAATTGGATTTTTTATCGTTGGAATAGAAGGATCTTGATCGTTGATTTCCTTTAAACTTTTTAAGATGAATCGAAGGAAACACACGGATCTCAGTTAAGACATTATAAGATACCTCAACCACGAAGGTAGTTATCTCACTAAAAGGCTGTAATGAGAACCTCACAAGTCACAAATCACAAATCACACAAGCCACCTGTTACTTTATATCGGCCCCTCAACTGCTCAAACCTTGGTCCAATCAACAGTCACCAACCAAAATCCTTTCTTACTTTAAATTCCACAGCCCTTGTGCCCAAAAACATAACAGCAGCACCAAATAGTTCGCTGACCAAAAATAAAATAAAAATAAAAATGACACTGCTCTGCTTTCTACTCTTCTCTCTCTTGCTAGCAGGAACTTCTTCAATCAGAGTAAACCAAGGCATGAAAAAAAAAATGCAATTGAACATTAATTTCTCATATTTTTGCATCTCAAACTTGATTATTTATATTAACCAATGCGACTCTTGCAGAAGCTAATAAACGTCCTCCACTGGAACTCCCTCTGTACCACGTCAGCCAACTCCAGCTCAGCAGCCAGTCCTTCCTCGACTCACTCTCCCTCGACGAAAAACGCGTCAACTTCCTAAACTCACGCCTCACCAACACAAACAACCTAACTTCAACTTCAACCGCACCAAATTCCATCCGAGTCCCACTTAACCCCGGCCAGTCAATCGGCGTCGCAAATTACTACACCAAAATCGGGCTCGGCACACCCCCCACCACCCACTTAGTAGTCGTCGACACCGGCAGCTCCTTCTCCTGGATCCAATGCCAGCCGTGCGCCGTCTACTGCCACCCGCAATCGGGCCCCACCTTCAACCCCACCCTCTCCTCCACCTACCAAAAGCTTTCTTGCTCCACAAGTCAATGCAAGTCATTAAAAAAAGCCACCCTCAACACCCCCACGTGCACCTCCTCCCGCACGTGCCTCTACACCGCAACCTACGGCGACCAATCGTTCTCGATCGGGTTTCTGAGCCGCGACCGGCTCACGTTTGGTCCCGACTCGTCGCTAGCCGGGTTCGTGTTCGGGTGCGGGCAAGACAACGACGGGCTTTTCGGGCGCTCGTCCGGGCTAATCGGGCTCGCGAAAAACGAGCTCTCCTTGCTGTCGCAGCTCTCGGGAAAATACGGGTCGGGATTCGCGTACTGCCTCCCGACGGCTACGCCGCTGGGGAGAATCGGGAGCGGAGGCTTTCTGACAATCGGTAAGAGTTTGGGTTATAATCGTAATCCGGCGTACAAGTTCACGCCGTTGGTGTCCGACGAGAGGGACCCGACGCTATACTTTGTGAAGCTTTCGGGAGTGACGGTGGCCGGCAGGCTGCTAGGCCTGCCGGCCTCTGATTTTGGCGTGCCCACGATTATTGACTCGGGGACGACGATTTCGAGGCTGGCGGGCCCGGTTTACGCGGCGCTGAGGGAGGAGCTGGTGAGGGTTATATTGAAGAGGTTTAAATCGGCGGGGAGTTTTTCGATACTTGATGCTTGTTTTGTCGGGGGTTCGGAGGAGATCGGGAGAGTTGTGCCGGCGGTGGGGTTGGTGTTTGGGGGTGGGGCGACGATGGACTTGGCGGCGCGTAATGTTTTAATTGAGGTGGTGAAGGGGACGACTTGCTTGTCGTTGGCGGGGAATTCGGGTTTGAGGGATCTGGCGATTATTGGGAATCAGCAGCAGCAGGGGTTTGATATTGGGTATGATGTGGTGAGTTCGAGGATCGGGTTTGCGGCCGGCGGGTGTAGTTAGGTCTTTGCCGGTGAATTGGCCGGCGGGTTTGATTATATATACTGCACATCGTTTCGCATTTATGCTTTGATGATTTCTTATACATACTGCACATTCATCTCTGCGTAGGATGACGTTTGTTTGTTATAATTGTGCTGGTGACATTCAAATATTGTGTAGAATTAATGGTAGTTATTACCAGACCGAGGTTGTAAAAGAGTGAATTCTTTCATATTGAGGGAAACTATTTAGGTTAATTGTGGTATGAAACGTATAGAATAATCCCGAGTGCGCTCAACGTTGTATGAACAATTATAAAAACTACAAATTTGCGGAAGCAATAGCCAAAGATTTAGAAACTAAGCATCCCACTTCCCCTCAGAGCTCTTTCATTGACAACTATCGAATACATAGTTTGGATTTACAAAATAGAACTCCCTTCTATTCTAACCACAACTATGATCTAGCCTATCAATTACTTCTCCGGCCACGTCCCGTGGACTTATTTTTCACACTTACTCCCTAAGTGTAAATGATCTAAATATTCAAATCAGAATTAACGAAAACAATACAACTGAAATGGTCTCAGTTCCTCAACGATTAAATCAATTGAGAACTGAACCGAAGTGAAAAATAAAAATGTAAGCAAGAAACTTGAAGCTTGAAGGTGATGAACAATTGCCCTAGTTTCAGCAACCTCCTTCAATCTTCAAGATCGGCTTTTATATGATTTCCTTGGACTCCCACGATCCTTGGTCTCTCTTTGGTATGTCCAATAAGTCCTACCATGTAAAGGACTCTTCTTCTCTCTCCACATATTCACTTGCCTCACTTATCCAATCTCTTCCTTATCTTTCGTGATGTCCTATGTGCGTGAAGTTCTCTTTCCATATCAACAATATCCTATAACACGTAAATATATAATAAGATCAAACATAATAGAAACTAATTTAGGTAACAAAGACTTCCCTTATTTATGCATGGCAGGAACTTCCTAAAATTTTGAACTCATGCCAAAATATATCTTTCATGGTATGATCAGAAAAAAAAGAAAAGATGATGCAGAAATTGGTCTCTATGAATCGTGCACTATTCATGTGGGGACGATAATGTTATTATTTTATTTTTCTCAAATCTTGTATTATGCGAATATATTCATCACCGAGAACAAACACGAGCAGCACTCGGTCACCCCAGTTAGCAACAATTTGCAACCCACGCCCAAGCGATCAGTGCCCGACGATCCCAGCAGGCACGCTAGTTGGGTATTATATGAGTATATAATAAATGAAAATAAGTATTTTTTTTTCATAGAATGAAAAACTAACATACATATACATTAAAAATCTTATTAATTACATTATTATATATAAACGGAGCTAGTTTTAACATGTTGGAACTAATAATCCAGACAAAAAGAAATAATTTAAACGAATAAAATAATTGATGACTTCACCTATTCTTTCATGCTGATCCATCAGAATCTAGCTCATTTAACATCAATATCTACCTAACACAAATATGCTCTACTTTCATTGATTTTTTTTTTTCCTTATAGGCGCATCGGTAATTCATTTTCTCAACTAGTCAGGGTTTAGTATTGGCATCAATGCTAATAGCAAGTGTGGTATTAGAAAAATGAAGAAAAGATACGAAAGAAAACAAAAAAAATTGGTCATATAAGCAATAAAAAGAAGTGGTGGAGGGATAAGACGAGGGTGATGACTCACGAGGGCTGGCCCCTTGTGGTTAATGATCCTAATATCATATGTCAATTATTGCTAATTGGTGGTGACATAGCTCCCTATATATTAATTCAACACGTATTGAGTTTCAGTGACAGATTCTCACACTACGAATACTAACATGTCGAAAATCTATGTGTCGTAATGTTGTTTATATATTCATTTTTGCTCTGGAGTGTATATTTAACTTTGTTATTTTTTTTTTTTCTCTTAGTACACATTTCCTTCATAGTTTGGACAAGTAGCATCTTACCATATTATAATTTTCTTTCATATTTCTCTCATAAATTACGATTTACAAATCAATATATATATATATATATATATATATATATATATATATATATATATATATTTCTTAACTCAACACCCGTGTAGTACACGAGTATTGTACTAGTGCATTAATTAATCCATGACTTCGCATAATGTATCAAATAGTGTAGTTTTTGCTGTAACAGACTATTTGTATATAATTACAACAAGTTCTAAGGGCGTGTAATGTGTTTGAATATAAAAATATTCAATCCACACTCAATTCATACTTAACATCTAACTCAATTTTAACACAACTCCATTATCATAAATATTATCAATATAATTAAATAATATCAAACAATTATTCTTACACATCACATCAACTTTAACTTATTATTCATTTACTCACATCATTTTAACTAACTATCACTTAACATCATCTCTCTCATACTTTTACATCAAATCAACTTTCATTATTTTATTTTAAATCTTGTATTATGAAAAAAAAATCCCACTAACAGCTAATCATGCCACTTTTTTCAGAATTAACTCTGCTTAACCAAAAAAACTCATTTTCATCGGATATATTTGTATACAAGCACAACCTAATTCTTTGAAAAAATCTCTCTCATGGAGTATCTTTGTTCTTCTTGTAGGATTGGGTTAGGGTTTTCTATTGAGTAATGCTTTTGTTGTTTCTTTGGGTAGGTTGTCGTTTTGTGGCCTTAGTTCTTGTTGTCACTTGCTTGCTATTTGGGTAAAGTGTATGTTTGTCTGGCTTTTTTTGCTGTCTTTTGCGTGTTGTCTTTCTCTCTTGCTATGTTTGGTAGTCATCCCTGGGACGGGGGTTGTTGTTCTCTTGGCTTGGGGGTAGTTGTAAGGCTGGCGTGAGAGCTAGCTGGTATTTTAGGGTTAAGTCTGTTCTTCAGTTGGTTGGGATGAAAAATGAGATTTCTGAGAAGTTCTTAAAAAATAGGTTATCAGAAAAAGAAAAACAAGATGTAGAACTTCTAGAAGAGGACATTGCGAGTGAGCCGAGGGACTGTCAACTCAGTTTAATTAGGCAAATCTTTGGGGAGAAGAAAGTTAATTACTTAATTTCACAGGGCTCAAAGTGACATTAGGTGGGATTTGGGCTTCAAAGAAACCCTTCACAGTCAGAAGTCTAGGGGAAAACAGATTCCAGTTCATCTTTCAGAGTGATGAAGATAAAAACAAGATTCTCAAAGGAAAAAGTGGTCCTTCAATAGCAGTATATCCAAATAAAGAGTTAAAATTCAGGAGACCTGAGATTTTTCGAGGAAGAGGAAGTAATAAAAATTTAGGTCCAAATTACAAACATGCTGCTTCATTGGATTTCGATTGATGCTGGAATTAAAACACACGTTACCAACTTGATAGATAAATTTAATTAATAATAAATTTTTTTATTATTTTTCAATTAGAATATATTAAGAAGAGAGAGGGTGGGGTTGCTCTCGCTTTTGTCATAGTGGGCCCCACCGGGAGACTGGCACGATGGGTTATTAGCTCGGTGGTAGAGCGCGTGATATATCATATATGGAATATTGATAACAAATAAAAATATTATTAAATGTTAAAATATATTTATAATTTAAGTTTATCAAGTACTTTTTTTTATGATTTTAAAAGCCCTAATAAACATGAATAAAAGTAATGTTCTAACAGACGTTGGGCGTCCGCTAGACGACGGGTTAGGGCCTAGCGCCTAAATGTGGATTAGATATATGTGGACTGGGCGGGGTCGTAATAGTATTCTTAATTTATTTATATTTATAACCATGCATAGCTTGCAAAATACATATTACGAAAATAGAATAATTAGTATATATGGATTAATAGTTAATACAATTCAAAATTAAACATACATTTCACATGATTATCATTTTAAAACTTTATAATTATTGTACATTTCATATATAAACAATAAAATTATTTTTTTATTATATTTTAAAAATTATTTAAAAAATACAAATATACAGGCGCCTAGGCGGCGCATGGACGCTGCCTAGGTTACTGCCTAATCAGTCTAAGTGTGACTAACTTCTTAACCGTCTGGACCGTCAACTGCGCCCGAGCGCATAGACGAGCTGCTTAGACCAAAATTGGGTCGACTGGGTGGTGTCTAACATCTAGGCGCCGTCTAACCTAATTTTTAGAATACTGAATAAAAGTTCAAATCTGCATGACTACTCTGAAACACCAGAATTTGATGTATATGATTAGGAAACACCGAAAATCGAAACATAAATTACGAAACGCCAAAAGTTGACATATTCAGAAAATTCTGAATGATATATACGAGGATATTATGTGACATTTCACTTAAGTTTGGAAACACTTATTGAAAAGTCCATTTCAAGATGGACTTCTGAAAAGTGACTTCTCAGAAAGTGTCAAATATAAACTTATTTGAAATGGACTTTTTGTGGGAGTTACTTTTTTAAAAGTCTATTTTCTTATTTACACCAAACATCTTTTTATATAGAAAATGGACTTTTATAGTTAAAATTCCATTACAAAAGTGCTTCCAAACATACACATATATAACTTGTGTTAATCATGTTCCCATTATGAAATTCCTTTCTCTCAATTGTGAAAGCAAATCTCTACTTTTCAATATGAAACTACTTCTGCATTGATAAATTAGAAAAGTAAGCACTCTGCGGAGCTGCACACCCAAACACACATGATTGCAAAACAAACACTTTGACAAAGCGTGAAATTAAAACAATTTCTGAAAACAATTAGGGGGCAGAATGGCCCTCTTATAAAACCTCAATCTTGACTTTTTAAATGTGTCTATATTCTGCATCTGAACACTACCCGACACAGTTAGGCTGTCACAACATTTAATTGTGGAAACTTTGAAACTATCATAAATAACTTATACCAACAAGTGAACAACCTAAATATCAGTTAGATGTAATGGTTTTCTATTATTATTATTATTATTATTATTATTATGGAGTCATTTGTAGGCATAATTGAATATTGATTGATTTAAATGAATGCATTGGGTATAAATAAGTTGCCACTGCTAGGTTTTCCTGAATTTGTGCCACTAACGTTCAAAATTAAACATTTCAGATGACAGATGTATTACAGTTTAGACCGTTAGAAAAGCATCATAAACTATTTTTAGTTTATTTATTCAGAAACTTATAGCTTTATCATGTGTAAATTAGTTTCTACTTTTATTTTAAAAAGATGTAACATAAAGGTTAAACAGATCGGCACATCATATATGCTTATTGAACAAAATATGTTAAAATGTCATACTTTTATGTAAGTAGTTTTTTTTTTCTTTTAAAGTATTATATTCGAATTCGATTATTGAAAGTATGTATATTTATTAAAAATATATGACTGTTAGGTTTGCCTAACACTAATCTTACGTTTACTAAATTACTCAAGCTTATTATTTCAAATGCTTATCGTTTCAAACACATTGAAATCTTTGTTTCACTTATAACTATTTTATCACGTTTTTTTATTATACTCAGTCATCACTGGTAACAAGCTTTTTTTCCCCTTTTTTTTAAAGGAGGATCAATAGTGTTCTCACTTCCACTCTCATTCGTAACTAGCTTATCATCTAATAATTAATTTATCAATTATTAGCTTACTTTTCATTTAACTATTTTTTTAAATACCCTTCCAATGCATGCAGCTGTAAATTTATTTCCATATTTGAAATACAAGGGACATCGACATCATCTCGTGATTTGAATACAATATGCATGTCCAAGAGAAAAGGTCAAACACTTCAATTATAATACGTTGTTGAAGTAATAATAATTGTATTAGAAAATAAGAACAAATTCATAATGTCTTGTAAAATAATTGAGACAAACACCAATCGGGACGCACAGACAATTGGCTGTCTGAAAAGTCGGAAAAACTATAGCAGACTCAAGTTCAGGACACCATTTTATATTAAATTCCCAAAAAAGAGGAAAAATATAAAAGGTGAAGACATGTTTTTTTTACCCTTAATCTCCAGTTTTTGGAAAAATGAACCAGTAACTCCCAGTTCCTCCTGCTGAAAGTTGCTTTCTCTTTGGATTTGAAGAAAGAAATTATTCTCAGCAACCTTGGAATTTAGTTTCCAAGGTTCTTTGCCAATTTTTGAAGTCTTAAAAAGGTACTCAAAATACTTTCAGTTAGCATTATATGTCATGCTATAAAACTCCTGGTTTGTGATCTTGTGTCAAATAATTTGCATCATGCTCGGGTATTAGCCCAGTGAACATCTCAAATTCTGTATTCCAACAAAAATATATATTTAATTTGATCGTCGAAAAAAGTCGTGCCCTCGAGCCCTGTGTGCCAATAGACAGAAAGTTAAAAGAAAAATAAAAATTTCGAAAACTATTATATGGGAGAGAGTTCATTTGCAGAAACGGTAATTGGTTTATCATATTCCTTTTTGTTAATCACAGAATTATAAACCATTGCCCTGTTTTGTTTAGTTAACTATGATTCTCTTTCTTCTTTCTTCTCCCTTTCCTTTGGAAATCCATCTTGGTAATAATTCCTTCTACTTATGAAACCAGGTTAAACAGCAATCTCCAAAAACAATAAAAAAATGGGATGCATATACTCGAAGGCGATTGCACGATCGATGAGCATTAGAGATGAACTAAGTAATCATGGCTTCCAAAGCTCGGCAGTAACTTGGGAAGAATTACTATCTTCCCATAGTGGCACGGATCAGCTCTTTGCCTTAGTAACACAAAGGACAAGCAATTTCACCCTACCATCTGCGCGTGATCCTGAAGTCAACAAGTGTCGGGATTCTAGCACATTTACTAGGTCAAGAAGCTATGACCAGATAACCGAAAACAAGCTCGACAGCAAATACAAGAGTCAGACAGGTTCTAGAAGCTTCCACACCGTGGAGGAATACGATATCATGCTCGAGAGGATTCAGAAATTCAGAACAAGGAGCGTACAACACTTTGGAGAGGACTACAATTCACCCGAAGATGTTGTTGGCAATAAAAGTCAAATTCGAGAGCCCCTTGGAAATAATTTTGAAGATGTTGAGAGAGTTGTGCAAGTTGATAGCACGAGAGAAACGGGTTGGAAGAGGAAGGCCGCGGCTAAGGGGCTCACGCCACTCGATGTGCCGTCTATCGAGTTCCCAGGTATTGGGAGGAATGGGGGCCAGCTGGCTGATGTGGAAGACGGGCAAATTTATTCGGCCGAGACTTACGTGACTCCTAAATTTGGGAGTTATAATGGAAGAGTTTATTCTGGAATGGAAGAAGGAGATGGTGGGGAGAATCCGGTTTTCAGTCGAGAACTGTTGGCCGCGTTTGAGGATTGCATGCAGCAGCTGCAAGAAGAAGAAGAGAGCATCATTTGGCAAATTGGTGAGGGCTCGTTGGCCGAGGACAAAAACAGTAATCAATGTTCTCACAGATAAAGTATCAGGATCATATATATGTAAGGATATACTCTGTTTAGAATTTAAACTAAGCTCTTGTGCAAATTGAAGCTCTATTAGAGTGAAACAAAATCTCATGCCCACACTTCGGTTTTTGTATATACCAAAGGATGATGATTGTCGCACATTTACATATTCAAGTAATCGACGTGTTTTTTATACGCGATCACGTGTCATGAATCCAATATCTTGAAATGAAAACGCTGATCAAGTTGCAGAACAAGAAATCCAATTCTACTTGGGGAAAATGTTAGTCTGAGCCTACTTCCGAAGAGCAATGTATCGAGTGTAAACAATAGAAACCAACTGACAGCAGGCAGAATGTATCTTCTCAAACCCAGAAAAAGTCTAACATTACAAATTGTTCCTCCCATACTATACACATACATCACCAAGTACACTTCTACAAAAACTTCAGCCTTGTGCTCGGATAAAAAAAAATTCAGTCACACGCAGCCAAGGCCTCGATTATTCACTTCGCTGACACCTGTCACTATTATTCAAAGTAAACACAACTGTTGGGCCAAGTTACAACACAAGTCACAGTGTCACACTCACTGCTATCCATTTTCAGATACCTTCTAAATTTGCATCTATTAGACACACTCATAGTGATTCACATTTCACACTATAGAGTCCAGATACGAATTGCTCGTGCACCGATTGTACTGAAGGAGGCTGCCGTACGTGCAGTCCCACACGCCAATGAAAAGAGAAGCAGTATCAGGACTGAAAGAGACTCCAGATATTTCGCCAAAAAAGTCTATCTCTTGCTCCTTGTCGCAATCGTTCTTAACTTCATACAAATGGACGAAATCTGCAGGCTCAGCCATAGCCATAAACTGTCCGTCAGACGAAAAACGGATGGATCGGATGGCTCCAAGGTTCCCTTTGAGTATGTAAACTGATTTGGAAAGGTTTCTTGTGTCCCACACTCGGCAAGTCTTGTCTTGGTTCCCGGTAGCAAAGATGTGGCCGTTTGGGTGCCATGCAGAGGCGAAAGAGAAGTCGAGATGCCCGGAAAGAGTAGCAATTGTCTAAGAAAAAAAAAAAAAAAATATCACCACAGCAGCCACAATGAATATTATATTATATCGAAATTGGGACCCAAGAGATTCTTGGTTCTTTATATCGTTTTAAAAAATAATCTTACCTTCCCGGTTTGAGAATCTACGAGAATCCCCTCAGGTTGTCACCGACAATAGCTAAAATCTTGGTATCTGGACTAAGAGAAGTATGCTGCATATAAGTTAACACGAGCGTCAAACATATTCACCTGCCAAGAAAAGTCGAGCTCGAGCCTGCTCTGTCTATCCCTCTATCGCTCTCTCACACAAACACATAGACTGACCAATATGCGATGGAATCTAAGAACTCAAGGCACATACAATCATACTTCACTAATTCAGGATAAGGTTTGTTCACACAACCTAGATACTTCAAGAATCTTCTTGCATCCATGAGTGAGCAACTATATGAGTTATATTTGTTCAAGCTTACATGTAAGATTAAATGGAGTAAATCAAAAGTTATCGGTAACAAGTTCAATGGACTATGTTGAATTGAATACAAACATGGCAACAGCAAACTGTGAATTGTGACCCAACTCCTTCAACAGTAAATTATGTAATTTTTCAGCAAGTTGATCATCTCCCACATGTGCAGTGACTAACTGTATGTGGCGTCACGATATTTTATGAACATATTCCAACACATTTATCAAAGCAACAACAATGCAGGTGCAGACTTTGCAGCTTACCAGCAAATTTAAATATAAGATAGCCTTGTCATACTACCATTAACCATAAAAAAGTTGCCTGTCATTGTCCCACAAGAAGGGCTTGAAGTAGATTTTTTAACATGGATGCAGGAGTTGGGGCATTTAGGGATGCAAATTATACACAAAACAATAATGATGCTGACATGAGGAGATTATGCAATGGAACTTAAAATTTCAGATATTATACATTTTCAGTCACATTGTCAAATCTTAGATATGTCCAACTTCAAGAGCAAATTTAAGATATATCAGATATATAACTTACATTTACAGGCCATGGATAACAGAAATGCTTCACAAGCTGAAATCTCTCCATGTCAAAATCCCGTACTCCACAATCATTATATGAAGCTGTGAAACGAACAGCGCCACTGGTAGTGGTATAAACCTAATTAGTTGGAGAATATGGGTAGATTTAAATTGCATTTCAGCTTTTGCGACTTTCTGCTTCAGGGATATTGGGAGGTTCACCTTGATTATCATAGATCTCGATTGCATTTGTGATAGCATTTTCTTCATAAGTCGTCCTCGTGCAAAAGCTAACACCAGGTCTATCTAGGTACTGCATCAAATGGAGAATTCTTCAATCAACCATCAACAAATGAAAGAAAGATTCAAAACATAGATTTACTCTCATTGAAGTGGTCTAGCTATCCACAGTAAACACTTGTATGATTTTAAAAAACTATCTTCTATTTCCAGGTGCATAATAGGAAATAAAAAATGAACAGGAAACAATTCAGTAGTTAAAAAAAAATCCTTAGTTCGAAATTGTTTAATCTCGTGATGAGCTCATGGAAATGGCTTGGCAATATTCTTTTTAAATAATAAAAAAAAAAAGCCAGTTCTTGATCGAAACACAGAAAAACGTCAAATTAAAGCATTCACCTAAAGAGAAAAATACCTTGCAAATAAGTTCTCCTTGGAACCCTCCAGCAATCAACAAATTGTCACGGACAGACATAGTACTTACTTGAGTCTGAGATAATCCTTTCTGAGATAATCCTTCCAGTAAACTCTCAGGGTGTTTCTGTATGACATGATTGAAGTGTCGCAATCGGTTCAAAACATAGAAAACACAAAGGTAAATATCTTAAACGACTCAACTTAGTGAAGACCAATGGATAATAGAGAAATGCGACACTAGGTAAACATCATGCTTTGATGTCGACCAGACTAGGTTCCTCAACTGCAATCAGATACCAAGATCTTAGAAAAGTTATTCCTGATAGACAGTAATAATTCTCAGAATAGAATGAGAGGCTTATGTGAATTGGTGTTTATACATCCAATTACAACAAAATTTGAAATCTAAAAGTTATTAAATACAGAAAACTGAAGACTAAAAGTATGCTTGGCGACGCTATGCAACTTAGCACAAAACCTTTCACCTAGTTTTGTATTTGGTTTATAACATTACAACACTGAAATCTGAACACAACTATATATGATAAATTCCCATGGAAGCAACAGGAGTAAACTGGGATAATGAAAATAAGGAACAACAAAGTAAAGGAACTGAAGAACACACGTTTAATCATATTATTTAACCAGAACCAAGCATATACTGAGCAAAATGTAAGTTAGATATAAATAACAGAAGATGCTATGGCATCAAGCCTGCGTCGTGATCTCCTGCATTGACTGCGACGGAGAGAGTACTTTACACCAAAATTCCAATCAGTATCCATCTAATGTGTAGCACACTATATCATCATAACAACTAAATGTCATATCCTTATTGAATGTTTCAAGATGCAGCCAAGCAGACGAGTGCATAGTCTTGTTCATCTGTTTCATTCAGCTGTGTTGAAATCGGCTGATCGATTTGGAGACAATTATAAAAACAAATAAAAAAACAAAAAAAAAATCGGAGTTCACCCACTTAGACAAAGTTTGGTAGCACAAAGTACAAGCATAAATCACCTCAATACTAATAAACAGGGTAATCCAAATTGAAGATATAAATTATTGTAGTAGGGCGTATCCCATACCTGGAAATGAAGAATGGTTGATTTTACCGATCTGGTGTTCTGCCAGAACTCATAATACACTCCACCTTTCTTTGTTACTTTGCATTGCTAACAAAATCCAGAAGGAAAATAACATAACTAATATTTTTATAGAGAGTAGAAAAAATATTATCAATCCCATTTTTTTTTTTTAATATATGTACCTTCTCTGAGCCTTCCCCAGATTGCGGTACATTCTCATAGTTCTTATACTGTTCTATTCTAGTCTGCCTATACTTATCCCGTGATATGCTCAGCTTCTTCCATGGGATTCCTTGGATATCCTTCCCTTTCCGTGCTTCAGCAGCTGAAGTATCAGTTATCTCGCTCTAATCCCACAGTTTAAGACATATTGCCAATAGCAAAACCAACTATCAAACCATTAA